GGGGCCTTGCCCTTTGCCTCTGGCGAAGGACAGAGGCCCGGCAGGCGAGAGCAGCTCTGCTGCGCCAGGGCCCTTGGCTGACAGCTTTGGCAGGGGCTGCGCCTCCCGCATCAGCATATTGGCGGTACCGCTGGGTATTAATTATGCCTCCACACTCACGGCTATTCACATGTTAAAATTGTTTATTTGCAGCTGGCTGAGCTCAAGACAGAGGCAGAAAAGCAAGCGGCTCCCCTTGGCTGCCCTCCAGCCCCTGTTCCTCCATGGGATGCGGCTCCCCAGGCACAGGCAGGGGTGGATCTGGCTGCTCTCTCCCAGCATCTCCGTCCTGGGGAGGATGCTCAGCTCCCCAGCCCCGGTGACCTCTTTCTGCCCTGTTTTCCTAGGAAAAGAGGCGCTGTTTGTGGCAGCGTGGTTGGGAGGATTCAGCCTATTTCACCCTCTGCTGATTTCCCTCCGTGATAAATCCCATCCCCTCCGTTGTGGGAAGTGGTGTCAGTTTAATTACTTACGGGGAGAAGGGGGAGAGCAAAGGAACTTAGGACTTGTTTTAAGCATCATTTTTATTAGCAGGTAATCCTGAAGCTCAGTTCTGTAATATAGATAGGTAGTGATGTGGCACATTTAATTTACCTAGGTGCTACTGCGTGTCAGCTTTTGGGCCTTAATTCCCAATCCCAGCTGTAGACAGCTTGGCTGCCATAGTTTCACAAATTTACAGTGATCGTGGAAGAAGTCGTGGCTGTGGATGGTGCAGTGAGCAGTAAGTCCCCAGTTCCCTTTGGATCTGGGTTCAGAGTGGTGTGTCCCAGAGCAAAACATCACTTAGGAGAGAGGTGCTTGAGTCTGTGGTTCCTGTGGTCCTGTGCCTCTGCTGCCAGCACCCAGGGGAGCAGAGTGGGATGCAGTGGGTGCTGTGCACCCCATTGGGGTGGTCCGTAGGGTCTCGTGCAATTTGCCACATGCCTTTGGGCACTCATCCATGATGCCCTTGCAGCCTTCCTTCCTCCTGGCCCCGTGAGGGTCCCGTTCCAGCCCATCATGAACCAGTGATGCTCCAATGCTCTATTGCCATGGCGATGGCTGGTGGTGTCATGTAAAAGGACAGGGGCTGCACTGCAGGGATCCTCACGCACCAAAGCAGGGCTGGAGAGCGGCTGCGGTGGCCCCAGCTCTGTCATCCCTGTCTTGGTGAGGACTCACAATCACAGGCCAAGTATCTACCGCCGCCACCGAAGCTTTTCCCTCTTCCCGTCGCTCCAGCGTGAAAGTCACCCGCTGGGATGCAGCGGCCTCATTCTCTTGCCATACAAAGCCAGCGAGTTCCTGCACGTACTCAAACCATGCCGTGTTCCGAACGCCTTTGTAGGACACTGCCTGTCCTACTGACAAGGATGCCTTTCCTAGAGCGTGTCTCCTGCTTCCCTGCTGTGTCTTGCCTGGGTCAAACACACATCGCCCCATCCCTCCAGCCATGGCTCCTGCTTGTGCTCTGGGCATTCGCAGGAATATTTTTGCCTCTGTCTTGCTCGGTGTTTGGAGCTGGGAAATGCTCCGGGTTCATAAATCATCCCAACAAGGACGTAACCTTGATTCCCTGTGCAATACCGATAGATCACCGAACAGGAGGCGTGAAATGGAAGAATGGCTCCATTTGTATAATTCTGCATTAAAAATCAGCCTATTCTGCATTTAACGCTGCCTGTGAAGTGTCTCCACAGTCACGGGGAGAAAGGGGCCGGTGCTGGAGAGCAAACAAGTACCTTATGAGAGGGACACAAATAGGCACCTTGTGCTGGTGCTGCCCCAGGCTGCACACTCCAGGGAGCCTGCGGAGGGTTGTGTTCTGCATTGGTCAGGAATGCTCCGAGACCATGATCCTGGTTGATTGCTTGGATGGATTACTGAACCCAGGGATTCGGTGGGTTTGGGTTCAGGGCTTGGATGCAGGTCCAGGGCTGCCTTTCCCAGGCCACTGCTTCCCATGTTTTTAAGGTCGTCACAGGACGGAGATTATCTTGTGTTTTAGCAATCTGAGATCACTAATTGCCAAAGCATTTCTTGTGGGTGTTGTGCTTCTCAAGCTGCCTGAGGGCTTCTGGCTGTGTTTGGAGCTTCATTGGGGTGGGAAGGATTCAGTCATCCCAGCTTTCCTGGTTGAAAGGAGCTGACTGCACATGGAGCTGGTGGAAAGAGCCGCAGCATCACTGTGCCGGTCCGGGATGTGGACGTGTCCCAGCAGCCTCTTCTGACCAGCAAAGAGCACGGGAAGCTCGTGTCCTCCAGCCTCCTTGAGATTAATCTCTTAAGCACCAGCTTTCCTCCTCCTCAAAGCCCTTGAAAGGATTTGAGAAGGGGGTTTCCTGTGGGCAGATGTCTGGAATGGTGGGAAAGGTGCGGCAGCTCCTTCTGAAACACCTTTGTGCCGGTAACGTCGCCTTTAAAGCGGAGATTGGCTCAGTTGGGCTCTGGAACCCTGGAGTGCTTAATGAGCATGATCCTGTAATTAGCCAAGTAGTTTCCCTGGAATCTGCTCTTGCACTTCTCGGGAGGCACAGGTAAATATTTGTAGGTGTTTCCCTTACGGCATGAGAACACGGCTGCCTCCATCCAGCACGCTGCGGGAGCGGATCTGTGGTTCTTGAGAGCAAAGGCTTTGGGTGCGGAGGGCAAAGAAGGGATTTCACCTTCTCAAGTACCTCCACTGCTCATTTCCTTTTTAACCCAATTTCAGAGTTTTGTTGAATTTTTCTTTGACTTTGAGAAGTGTTCTGGGGTAACATTCCCATTCACCTCCAAGGTGGAAAAAGGAATAACATAAAGGTTGCCCATGCTCCTCGTCTCTTTGTGATGGAGAAACGGTTGTGTTTGTGTTCATGAAGAGCCAAAATCCTGATTTCCATAGGATTTAGTGAGCGGTGTAATCATGGCCCTGCCTGATGCATCCTCCAACCCCTACTCTCTGGGCTGCCTTTGGGGACGTGTCTCTTGCCACCCACTTTGATGGGGACCAGGGCAGCGGGAGGGGTGTTGGGGTGAGGTCCGGGTGGTCCTGCCTCTGGCACTGCCGCATCCCTCCGCCGCCGCGCCGAGCACATCGCGCTGCGTTGCCTAGACAACGGCAACTCCTACACGCTGCTATTTATTCTGAAGGACACTTGCTCTTATCTGTTGTTGCAAAGCCCTCAGAAGATCGCATGCCACGCAGAATTCCTCTGAGGTAATTGGGCTCGCTGCTCCCGTCCCAAAGCCGCTCTCTGGATCCGTGCCGGCTGATGGGGTGGCCAGGAGGATGCTCCTTGGGTGACAGCCGCTTGGCCAGCATCCCTTGAGGGTAACCCTCACCATCCTTGGGGCGGGATGGGGTGCTGCCCACCCTGAGCTGTGGGTGTCCACCATCAGCAGAGGCTCTGGCCTGGGGGTGATGCCAGGAGTGAGGGACACCCATGTGCGAGGCTGGGCATTGTACGTTGTGTTTTCCCACGTGTCCTTCTGACGCTGCAGGGAGCAGCGCAGGGATGCTCGGGGAGGTCCCGCACAGGACCAAACCCCCATGGGCTCAGGGCTGCTGTTGCTGCAGCTTGAGAATGTCACAAGCAGGCAGGAGGGAATGGGAAGAAGGGAGAAAAGAGAGTTTTCCCTGTGAGCTGCCCCTCCTGGGTACCAGCAGTTTGGCTTTTGGAAGCTTCCACGTGGTAGCTGGGATTTAGTGAGCACCAGGTTTGGGTTGGGTGCACCTTCCTGTGCCTTGTTCAGCTGCTGTTCATAAAATCGTGCCATCACCATCATCTCTTGGGTGGTTTGGCTTTTTTGAAGCTTTGAAACCCTTCCTCCCCCAGCCTGAACTATTTTGGTTTCTGTTATCTGTTTCTGGCTCTTCCCTTTCTCCTTCTGCGCTCTTCCCCTGCGTCACCTTTCTCCTCCCCAAAATAAGTGCTGTTACGCTTTGAAAAAACACCCAATTAGGGACAAAAAAGCCAAGAGCTCCTCTGAGCAGGAAAAGGCTGGGCCTGGGAGTATCCAGGTCAGCTCCTTTAGCTCCATTTGCTCATGCACGGAAGGGAGTGCACGAATGCCTGTGTCAAGCAGATGCACGTTTTATTGTGCTACCAAGGGCTGTGCGGGGCGCAGCGCTGCGGAGGATTAGTCTATTTAGCCATGTAAAGCTCTCATTAACTCCTGCTGAGTTCGACAAAAGTCCTTCTTGGGTAAAAGCTGAATAAAAGGGAGTAAAGATTTCTGGGCTTTGGCCTAAGGATGTTTTGTGCTGGGGGAAAAAGAAAGGAAAAGAGAACAAGAGGAATATGCGTACGTGGCAGTTTCCTGCCATGAAACACCGTGCTTCACGTGGGGGAGCATCTTAGGAGGAGGCGTGAGTGGAGCAGAGCCTTGGAAGGTGCAGAGCCCCTGAGGATGGGGCTGCTCGTCCTTCCCTGCTAGGTCAGGGGCTGTGCCGAGGAAACTGGGTCACATTCGGTGCAGGGGGATGCTCCTGCTGCTGCGTGGGTGACCACCGCGGTGGGAGATGGGTTCCATGTGCAAATGCAGGGGGCCAGGTATCTTCTGCTTCAGCTCATGGAGGGGTTGATACCAGTGCTCACTGTGGGCTTGTACCTTGGCTTGGGGAACTGGGGAGCAGAGAACCCCAAGACTCCTGCAGTGTAGAGACCCTGGAGTGCGGCTCGTGCTGCTGGCGCTGTTTGTGCCATCTGCTTTAGGGGATTCATCTGAAAGAGCTGAGTTTGGGCAATGCAGGCGCTGGCTGTGTTTCATGGCACAACCCGTCCTCACATCACAGCGACCGAAGAGCAGCAAAGTCGCGGGCTCGATGGGGGTCCTAGCTCATGGTGGTGGGTTTTGCGGTGGCAGGATGCCTGGTGATGCTGGCTCAGGAGGGAGGAGGATGGCCCGGCTCTGGGGGCTGTGTCGGGTGGCCCGTGCCAGGGTGGATGCCTGGGTCGCTCCTGCGCCTTTCTAACAGGGTCGCTGTCTCTCCGCAGGTCAGGTTGCCCGCTCGGAAGCCATGCTTGGATTTTAATAGCCATGTTCCACCTAGCCATGGACCTCGCCAGCTGCCAGCCCCCAGCCAGCGGTGCCGGCGGGAGGCTCTCCCCGCGGCCGGCGCTCCGGCACAGACTGTCCCGTGGCTCGCTGTGGGACACAGGGAGCACAGAGGAGCTGCGGCACCCGGGACCATCCTGGACCTGCGCGCCCCCGACCCCCCCGCAGAGACCCCGCTCCCGACGGCCCCCCCCCGCCACCCCGCTGCCCCCCGGGCACCCCCCGCGCCAGCCACGCTCCCGGAGGGGCCGGCGGCATCTGCGCGGCCGCGGCTTCTCCCCACGGGACGGGCGACCCACAGCGCTGCCCGAGGTCATCGTGTGGGGCCCCACGGGCGAGGAGGACTCCCTGGAGAGCAGCACCTTGCCCGGCTCCTTCGCCACCGCCGCCGCCACCACCACCACCACCACCGCTGCCACCACCACCGCCACCACCACCACCGCTGCTGCCACTGCCGCCACGCCGCCCCACGTGCCCCAGAGCACCCCGGCTCCTGTGCCCGGTGGGGATGTGCCCCGTAGCAGCCCCGGCCGCACCAGCACCGTCGAGCCGGCCGCCGGCCACAGCAGTGGTGGCAAGGATGCTCGCCCGCCCCGCGGGCTGGGAGACAGCACAGGTAGGGTCTGCCGGGGCAGTGGAGGGACAGGGATGGTCTGGGGATCACCGCGGTGTGAGGCTCATGTAGAAGAGGTGTGTGATGTTAAATAAGGGTGCTCAGAGAGCAAGCGGCTCCTCTGCTCCGTGGCTATTATCCGAGGCGTTTTCCAGCAGCTCCCTGTGTTTCCCATTAGCGATATCCAGCCCCATCGCCCGTAATCGCATTCAGCGTGGCGCTCGGCACAGCGGTGCGTCCCCCCAGCGCTGTCTGCTGCGTGGACATGGATGGGGAAGCTGCTTCCCATTTATTTCAAATTATATTTGTTATTGCTGGTATTAAACCGTGGGGTATCGCTGCGGAGTTTACAGAATGCGCTCGCTGTGCAGCGACTGCTTTTAGCCCACAGTGATTTTCTGGTTGAATCAAAGAAGAATTTTATGGCCTAATCTTAATCCCAATTAGTTTATCTAGCCCGGCCTGCTTGGCAGAAAGAGAGGAGGCATCCGTGATGTTGTTGCTGACTTAAGGGAGATATTTATAGCGCCGAAAATCTCCCAACCTACACACCTTTTGGATAAAAGAGTGGAACTGGCTGGACAGATTAGCGAGGGAGTACCGGTGACGAGCGCTGGCGCGAGGGCTCGCTGCGTGACGAGATCCTCAGCCTCATCTGCCCACCAAGGGGCACTGAGGATGATGCTATGGAGGCACCAAACCTACCACGGTCGGTGCCTCGGTGGCATTGCCCGGTTGGGTGTATGGGGTCCAGGGGCCTGGTTGTGGCAGCAGCACGTGGAATGTTGGCTCCCGGCATGTGCTGGCGCACGGTGATTGGAGTTGACTGCCGGGTTCAGGTGAGGCTGAGCCGGGGCTGCCGGTGTTGGTGTCGGCAGGGAGCCGCAGCCCCGGCAGCCTCCCAAGGGGCCGGCTGCTTTAATCTGCCAGCTCTTAGCTCTCATTAGGGCCTCTTTCCAGGGCCGCAGTTTTTGCTAATTAACTTCTTTGCGCCGAGTGGTGAATGCGATAAACTCCTTCCCGGGGCTAAAGGACCTCTTTGATCTGGGCCTGGCCACCCTCAATTGAAAAGAGCCAGAGCTCCAGATCTGCTTCTCCATCCGTGGCTGGGGCTGAGCACCCAGGATTGCTCCCGTGGGGAGCACTGAGCTGTCGCTCTGCTTTGGGATGAGCATTGCGGTGCCTGGAAGCACCGTCCGTGCCGATGCCGGTGTTGCTGGCGATGCGCCCATGCATTTTTCAGGCCCGGCTCCTCTCCGTTGCGTAAGCTTTAGCAGCTGGAAGTGTTTGTTCTCTGCTGGGAAAAACATATGGCTACAAATTAGGATTAGGTAACTTGCCTGTACTTCTGATTTGCCTCAGTGAGCACTGCCAGCCCTCATCCTGTAAAGTGCTGCACATCACAATGGGAGCCCGCGGTGGGGGCAGAGGGACGTAAGGAGGGAAGGATGCTGAGCTCACTGCTTGTGGTCCTTTGGCTTCCCCTTGGGTCAGGCTGGTCCCACTTGTTTGTGGCACCCAAGGGAGCTGGGGACCCCGTGATCCCCAGCACCCAGCAGCACCCATTCCCATTGGATTGGGTGCTGCCATCATGCTGACGAAGGCAATGCTTCACCACCATTCCCTCGCTTCCCTGCACGCGTTGTCAGGAAGGGATTTGCTACTGGTGGTGCTGGGGAGGGGGAGACCTGGTGATGGATGGGAGACCGTGGGGGTCCGCAGGGTGGGAGTGCATCACGAAGGCAGCAGTGCTCACTTAGACAAGCAGCGAAAGCAATCCTGCTCGCTTAGATCTTCCTCTCACCCCACTCCTCCTCGCTGAAGAAGGCAGCAAAAAAGCCAAAAACAATGTGTCTGTGAGTCATGAGCAGCAAAAAACAAGCTTAGAAAAAATCCCACAGAGTAGAAAACACTGCAGGTAGGGAGGAGAGGAGGAGGCGAGCGGATCCATGCGCTTTGGTATTGCTGCTCCATGCAGTGGGTGCTGCCAGGGATGCTCTGGGTCACCCAGTGCTCAGGTGCCTTTGTCCCGATGCCACCTCCGCCTGCCCGGCGCCTGGCAGCGTGCGGTGGCAGTCAGATGGGGACGCAATATGTTCACCCAGGCGTGGTTTGTGCTTATGCTTTCAGAAACGTGCTTCCTTTCTCGGGGGCTGTCAGAGTCGGTTTAGGCTGGAGCGTAGAAGGAGAGGAATAATTAACATGCCAGCATGCAGTGAGAGGGAAGGGCCGTGGGGAGCTTTAGCGGGGTGGATGCTCCCCGTGCGGGCTCAGCTCCTCCACCAAGGCTGAGCATCCTCCAGTACCGTGGGCTGAAAACAAGGAGAGAAGAGAAGAATGAATCAGAGAAGGCAGGAATTGTGCTGGCTGGGCTGTCCGAGGCTTTCCTCTCAGTATTATTAGAATAAAGCCGTCTTTAATTAAACCTTTAAAGTGCTTTATAAGGCAGAAGACTTTATGTGCCGTCTGCTGCTCTTAATGGCAGTTTGATTGCTGGTACACCCTGAGTTTGGCGCCGTGCTCTGCTCAGGATGGGGCAGAGGTGAGGGTTTAATAGGTGAGGGTGCTCTGGATGGGGGCAAGAGGCTGTGTGGGTGCTGCTGTGGGCCCCAGAACATCTTCTGGCTCCTTCCCCACCGCTGTCTGGGAGCGCATCGGGAATAAATAATCCTAAAGAGACATTAGCTTCCCTGCTGGGAGACGACCCTGCCTTCAGAAAGAGGGTGCGGGAGAGGGGGCGCTGGATGCGAGCAGATACTGGATGCAAAAGGCTTCAAAGGAATTAATTAAAGATAAAATGTGTTTAAAAGAAGACCCTGGGCGGTCGGGATGGAGCCGCCTCTTTGATCTGCTGTGCAGAGGCGTGGGGAGCCAGGGGCCGGACGGGAGGTGAGGGGCTGGTTGGTACCCCCTGCACCAGCACCCACTGGTCGCCCTCGTCGGGGGTTCCCAAAGGATCCTTTGTAAGGCTGAAGGGTGAGGATGATGGCTGAAGCAGGAAGGGAACGCATCCGTGAGCTGAGCTCTCTCTGGCAAGGGAGAAGGCACTGTCTCCTCTGGGATTAGCAGATGCTGTCGTGCGTGTGTGCCCTCTCCCACGTGTGCCTGAATGAGCCAGGAGCTTTCCTCTGCTGCTCTCGCAAGTATTTATTGCTCGGTGATATTTGCTGTAGCACCTGAGCAGATAAGTCCCAGTGTCTTTAGCTTAAGCCTCCAGGATCTTCATTCTTGGCAAGAATATTTCTCCGCAGCAGCAGGAGGAGGATATTCTCCTTTCATCAGTCCCAGCCCCAAATACCAGGAGGTTTCCAGGAACCATGGTGGGGTTTTTTTGCTAAAGAGCTGTATTTCACTTCAGCTCATTGGGCTGGGTCTCAGAGCTGAGCATCCTGGTTTACCAGGGAAAAACCAAGGGCCTTTGCCAGCCCAGATGCTGCTCCAAAGGCAAGAGGAGGGGGCTCAAGGAGGTTCTGTTGGTCAGGCAGCTCCAGGCTTTGTACCAGAGCAGGGTATTCCAGGACTCCTGCCATGTCTCCTCCCCTCTGTTTAACCCTGGTGTTTTCATAGGTGTCTGTAATTATTTTCCTTCCAAGCTATTAAACAGCAGTAGGGTTTGACTGATCCCCCCTGGGAAAGGCCGTTTGTGGCTGCGGTTGCAGCAGGACTGCCACAGAACGCTCTTGATTGAATTTTTCTGTCCGAAGGCAGCTTTATCAGCTGGATGAAGCTTTCAGGGATCAGATGCAGTTTCTCATGGCTGGGAAGCTGTGAAGCCTCTCAAGTCCAGTGGGTTTTTCCCAGCCTCTCTGCGATGTTCGGGAAGAGATGTCCTGGTGCCCTGGCAGGGATGAGGATGGGATGCTGAGCCCCATGAGAAGACCCCACTTTAGGGAGAGCCCTTTTGGCAGCCACTGGCACTGATGTCCCTGTGTCCAAAAGCAGTTGGGGACGATGCCCAGAGCAGGCTGGTGGCCAGTTGCCAGGTTCACGTGCCTCACTGACCAGTGGTCACCCACTGCACTGGCATTGCCCACTTCTGCCTGGAGATGTGGTACCCAATGCTCAGCTACTGCAGACTGGGGAGGCTCCATGGAGCTCAGCAGCCTGGCTATTCCCTACTCTGGGATCACTTGGCTCTTCCAGCCATATTCTGCCTGCTGGGATGCCAGCAGGGAGCCAGCCTCAGTGTCATGGGCTGTTGCTGAATCCCCCAAGAGGAATCCCTGTCAGTGTCCAAGGCGAGGTTGGACGGGGCTTGGAGCAAGCTGCTCTAGTGGAAGGTGTCCCTGCCCATGGCAGGGGTTGGAACTGGATGAGCTTTAAGGTCCCTTCCAACCCAAACCAGTCTGTGACTGTGTGAGTCCTTTGCTGGCTCTTGCAGGCAGCAGGTACTGATCAGCCATCATGCTGGGAGATGTGGGACTGGGCCGAGGTGGTGGCTCCGGCATCAGTTGTTGGCTTCTGTGTGGGCTTTGATGCTCACCGTGGAAGTGACTTAGGAGGTTATTTTGGCCAGGAACAATTGCCATGGCACCAATTCTGTCTGTATCTTCATTGTTTCCTTCTCTATAAGATCTTCAGCCACTCCTGAGAGCCAGCCCCTTTTTGATGCTCATTACTGGGAGCCCATTTGGAATGGTCTCTCCCCAGTTTAGTGTGATGCTTTGCTGAGGGAGAGGTGTAAATCCTGCTGCCATCACCACTTCCCTCTCCATCAGTCCTGCGATGCCGTACAAGCCCCACCTTGTTCCCCAGTGCATGCTGGCAGACCCAGCCCTAGTTTCTGTTTGGGAGATTTCCCTTCTTTTGGCATTTAGATTCAGACTGGGAGTTGTGGGAAGGCTGAGGCAGAGGAAGGAGCAAGGAAGGCATCCACGTGGCGCTTGTGCAGGAAGGTGCAGCAGGTTTTTGGAGTGTCTGTTGTTTTCTACCACTGAAGGTAACTCCGATTACACTCTCCAGAATCAAGCAGAGCTGTTTTTCCCTCTCTTAATGTTATGCAGCTCCGAGGCCTTGACGAGGGTCTTCAAAGAGTTGCAGCTCGTAGCTGTTTTTATTGGGAAAATGAAAAATACGGGCTCCCTAAGCAGGGCTGTTGAAATAAAGGCCTTGGGGGATAGAGGTTCTCTTTGTTTTTAATTAAGAGCTTATATCTCCTGTTCGCTGCCGTTGCGCACTTCTGCAGCAGCAGACATTAGCCTCGAATGGATTTTCTCGTGGAATTAATTCCGTTGATGCAGAGCTGTCCGGGAGCCGTTTCAAAAGGTGGCCGGAAAGGCCAAAACTCAGCGCTTTCATCTCGCTGGCAAATAGCTGGTCTTTAAAATAACACAAAAACCAAGCCCCGGCGCTTGCTGGCTTGGAGGAGATGGGGTTTTTCCTGGGATGCTGGGGCTGTGCTCTGCAGGTTACCGCAGAGCTGCTGCCCCTGGGGAGCTGAGGTTGGGTTTCTCGCTGCAGGACGGGACCTGAAGTCCCCATTGAGAGCAGAGCTCGCTCGGACAGTGCAGCAGTGGAAAAACCCAGCATTCTTTGAGTGCTTGCAAGGGTTCAAAGAGCGCCTTTGAAGAGCTTTCCCTCCTGGCAGGCGACACGTGAATTTCTGCTGCACCAGCAGAAGCGCAGGGGTTTGGACACACTTTCAATTCCATTAAATACTCCTCCTGTAATTACCCTCCGGTTAAATGGTCACTGCGTCAAATTGCCTGGTAAAAGCCTGGTGAGAGGGAGCTGCTCGTGGTCCCTGTGCAGGGATGAGGCGCTGGCAGCCGGTGCTGAACGGGACGGCCACTCACCAATGCCATTCCCAGTGCCAGCCCTGGTCCTGCTGGCAGCTCCTTTCTTCACCGCTTATTAAGGTGTAATTAAGGGAGCACCGTGTCTGTAGCTCACTGGGATCCAAGCTTTGCCATGTGCAGTGTTTGCTGCAAACAAAACCAAGCCACCGGAATTCCTGCTTCCATGTTCTGCCCTGCAGCTCCCTCCATGTGCCGGGGGCACGAGCTCTCACTGTGAGCTACACGTGTGCCAGAAGGCTTCCCGCACTGGTGGAGGAGGGTAATTTTCCTTTATGAGCTATTGATTTTATCCTCCAGGTCCCTTTCCTCTGGACAGAATGGGCTCCTAGGGCTGTGTTTAAAATAATGCAGTGGTCTTTGGAACCATCTCTCTCTTTCCTCTCGCCTTTTCCCTGTGGGTGGTGTCCCAGATGGGATGCTCCCTTCTCTCATGAATGTCCCATCCATGAGCACCTTCTCTTGCAGATGGGGTGTTTCTGTTGGATTTTGCTCTGTGCAGTTCTGTACATTCCTGCGAAGGCCTAGGGGAAAGGATTTGAGATATCGAGGAAAGGATTTGATATATTTACAAAGTAAGAATAAAGAGCTGTTAGCCTTTATTGCAGTGGGCACTGCTATAGGGATTCCTAGGAAACCATCCATCAGGTCCCTTTCCCTGTTTCCATCACTGCCGTGCTTAATGCTGTTGGGAAAGTGATCTCCTGTCCCCTTGAAATCCCTGGGCTCTGGTGCAGAATTAATATGCGATGTGAAGGAACTTTCTTCCATGCTGGTACATATGGCAACTTATGTATGTGATGGAGTCTAAAATTATCCAGCCCTTCTTTAAAGCCATGTGTCCTGCTCCAGAGAGCTGCCATGCTTCCCGGCGCTCAGCCACCTGCAATCTGTTCTGCCTGCGCCTTCCCCATGATGTAAGTGCAGGGATTAATTGCATCCTTCGGTTCTCCCGCGTCCTCGCCGTCTCTGCCTCTGCACCTGTCTTTGCAGGTCTCATCCCGACACCGCTCCTGTTCTCAAAGGAATCGGGCACTGGGCTGGGTTTGGTGTATTTTTAGAGCCTTTCCCTCCCTCTTTGTTGGCGCTGTCCCACTGGGACCTGCTCCAAGATTGCCGCGAAGGATGCGCCGGCGCCGGGGTGGGCGTCACTCCTGACCCGGCACACGTGGCGCGGGCTGGGAGCTGCTGGCTGCGTTCCTCGGCCCCATCGGGACACGGCTCCTCTCGCATCCATCCGCCAGGTTCCCAAAGTACAGGGTCAGAAGTCTTCTCCGTGCCTCGCCTTCGGGAGAAGGCGTTATCCCTGTGAATTCCCTTGGGACGTGGAAGCAGGAGGCAGAGCAGCAGACTCAGCTCTGGCTCTGCAGCAATTGTGGGGAAGCTGAGGCAGCCCAGTGGCTGCTTCCCAGTGTCGGGACCTGATGGAGCTGGTGCAGGGGTGTTGGGTCCTCCCTGTCCTCTGCCACCAGGTCCCCAGCCCTTGCGGTCACATCCTGACCCGCTCTGTGTCCTGACAGCCTTGGTGGTTGAGCCAGTTGAAGTGTAATTGGGAGGAAGTGGAGGGAATGGGTCATTTGCAAAATAGGTGCTTGAGTTGAGGGAGAAAAGTAACCTTGGCATGTTCCTGTCCCTCTGTGCTCAGCTGTGCCAGGGTGCGGGTGAGCAGCCGTCCGTCTGTTCATCTCATGGCTCCCCAGGGAGGGAATACGTGGCTGGAAGCCTTGGGGAGCAGAACGAGAACCCCCAAATACATGGGGGCTGCAGTATCCTGCATCTGCTGTGTTTTGGGCCCTTGCCTTCTGCTGTCTTGGCACTGGGACCGTGCCAGGACCCAAAAGCCATCATTTCAGAAATGTTTGCCTTCAGGAAGTTGTTACTCCTCCATCCTGCCTCTAGAAAACCCCTTTGCTGGTGATGTCTGCCATGTCCCACTCTGGGCAGCATCCTGTCCTTAAACCCATCCAGATCCCTGCTCTCTTCTCCAGCTCTTATCCCAGCTCTCCATCCTGTATCCACTGGGAAAGTGGAATAAGCACTACAGGCTGCTGGGTGCGTGCTACATTTCAGAGCCCCTTCTGCTTTAGTTTTGGAGGTGAGTACTCTTGGTCTGCCGGACACCAGAGCACTGTGGTCACCAGGTGGGTTCCGGGCCATCGCTCCTGTACCTGGTAACGTGCGTTCCCTGCTGGCGAGTGCTTCCTGAGTGCTGGCCATGCTTTTTGGACAGACTCCCCAGAGGTGACCTTGGTTTTGTTGTATTAAACTGTCAAGGCTGGCATTCCGGAGCGGTTGATTTACAAGCAGCATTTCTCCCTTGATGAGTGTTGTTGGCAGCGTGGGAGCAGGCAGGGACCCGAACCCCCCCGGGGCACAGGGATGAGCAGAGCTGGGTGAGATGCTGTAATGAGTTCCCAGGGAGTGAAAACTTGTGTCCTGCGAGAGCAGCAGGCGTGATCCCAGGTTTAAAATCCCACTGATGAACCTGGCCTCGCTGGGGCTTGGGCTGCTGCTCAGTCTCCTGCGAGCCTGCCTTGAGTGGGGTACATGGTGCTGGAAGCCAGGGAGCCGCAGCATGGCCCCAAATCCACTGCTTGGGAGTGTGGGAGAGCGCTGGGCGGCATTCCCATAGGAGCATAGGGATGCTCTGTGCGAAGTCCCTGCAGAGAGTGGTGCTGAGGGCTATGGAGGGGGCACAGGCTGTCCCCAGTGTGTCTCTCCCAGGAGGGTTTTCCACCCACTGTTGCTGCTGCTGCTGGGAAGGGATGGGTGTACATTGAACAGCTGGGTGGGCAGCGTCTGCCCACCTCATGGAATCCTAGACTGGGTTGAAGGGAACTGGATCCAGCTCCAACCCTTGCCGTGGGCAGGCACACCTTCCACTAGAGCAGGTTGCTCCAAGTCCCACCCTCATCCTCACCCATGGACAGCGGTTGGAAGCCTGTGCGGGCTTCCATAGGGAGAAGCAGCCATGCACACCCGGGATAGCTGGGAGTGCTGCGCATGTATTGCACAGGTCCATGTATACGTATACATGGATGAAACTACAGATGTAAAAAGCTGCTGCTTTTCCTGCCATGCCAACACGTACTTACTTATTAAAAATACCATCCATCAGGAGCTGCAACATCTGTTTGTGAAAAATAGCACATCCTTGGGCCACAGCCAGCAAAATCATTTCATTACGAAATTGCAACTGTAAAGCAGCACAAAATCACAAACATACTGTACATCGAGATGCTTTTGTTTCCAAACTGCTCATTAGGACTGATACATGAGCCAAAATTATACCCTGTTTAAGGTGAATTAGGAGAAAATGAGCCCGTCCGACCTTCTAAGTGAGCAGCAGTTAGTGCAGTAATTATTATCTCTGGTTAATCCTGCACCCACTGCAAGGCTGCGCTCACGTTTCCCTTTCTGTCCCGGAGGGGATGCGGCTTCACATCTCTTCCGTTCTTCGTGCCTAATTCGGGCTGACAGGGAACATACTTGAGAGGATAGGAAATGAGAAACTGGGCTTAAAGATGCTTCTCTGTAAGCAGGGAGAGGATCAGGTCTGCCGGGGTTGGGAGTGGCAGGGGCTTTGCTCATCCTTGCCGGGATCCCCTTGGCTCCCATTCCCATTCCCTCTCGTTTCCTCTCTCCGCAGGTCTGGCGGTTCATCAGATAATCACTATAACCGTGTCCCTCATCATGGTCATAGCCGCTCTGATAACAACTCTTGTCTTAAAAAACTGGTAAGGTCCCTCCTGGGCTGGGGAGGATGGCGTGGGGATGGGACAGGGTGGGGATGGGGGAGTCCTTTTCATTAACAGCTCTGGGTGCTAACGCCTGCAGCATCCACCGGGGTGGCTTTGGAAAGGCATTGCAGGAGAAAATGGGGTTTTGCAGTGGGATCTCCAAGGGGGGCTGAAGCCCCTGGGTTTGCTGTGCTTGGGGGCTGAAGCCCCTGGGTTTGCTGTGCTTTGGGGCTGGGGTCAGTGGGTCCCACTTGGGGCACAGGCACAGCACTGCTCCAGGCTTGAGTCGCTGCCACGTGATGCCACATGGGGAGGTCAAAGTCATGCGTCTGGCCACAGCAAGAGCTCCCTCAGGGTGCCAGGACCTGCCCCGTGCCTGGTGGCACCTCCTCAGCAGCCTTGCTTAAGCAGCTTTGCTGCTGCTCCTTAAATCCCCAGCCTGGCTCAGCCAAGCAGTTGAGTTGTTTCCTGCGACCCCAGGGATGCAAGGGCACCTTCTGAGCCCCTCGGATGCTGCCGGGTTGAAGTGTGCCCCATCCCTCCTGTGCTTCTCCGGCTTCATTTGCTCCCCTTTATTCTCTCAGCGTGGCTGGGCGTATGGCAAAATAGGTTAGCGCTTCGCTTCAGGCACTCGTGGCTTTACCTATTTTCCCAGGGAAACTGGCCTACTTTGAGGTCAGTGCTGCCGGTCGAGGGATTCGGATGCAGCCCTGGGCCGGTGGGAGAGCTGCCGTGGTGGGTTCTCTCCTCCATCATCTCCTCCCGCCCACCCGAGCTCTCCATGGGCACTGCAGCAAATCGATTCCTGCACCCAGGAGGGAATTAGAGAAGCGGGTGGAGGAAGAAGCCTGCTCATTCCCCGGGATTAGAGGAAAACCTATTTGCAGGGCTATGGAGGCATCTTAATCTGGGCAGAGCTGTAGTGCAGCATTGCAGCCGGCCACAGTGCGGGGTTACTCGCCCTGCAGCCGAGCTTGCTTTGCTGGGAGCGAGCCCATGGGGACACATCAGGAGTGCAGCAGGGGATGCTCCTTTCTGTGTCTCGGATGGGGTTTACTTGACAAAACTTGCTTACTGGAAGTAATATTCCAGTGAAGGAACAGGGGAAATACTCTGTCAGAGGGTTTTCTCTAATAGCAGTCGTAAGCCGCATGTATCATTGATCTGGCTGACCACAGCTTAGCAGAACAGCTCCAGTAACCTCATGCTGAAGCCGAAAAGGGCAAACAAGTAAATACAGCAATCAGTGAGGAACAGAAACTGTTTACCATGGGTAAGATGGGGAAATGAGCAGGGAACCCCCACAGACAAGCCCAGTCCACGTGTCCCAGGCAGAAGGCAGCACCCCATGAGTTTGCTCAGCTCTGGCATTTGCCGAACAGCTTTGGTGTTTTAGGGCACATGTTGGGCTGCCCCCGGTGCTGCTGGTACAGGCAAGGGCTGGCCGGTACTGGTCCCCTTGGGTGGGAGGTGAGTGATGGCTGTGCCACACCAGTGTCCTCCTTGTTGCTGCTGCAACGTGCTGGGGGAGCTGGTGGTTATTTCAGGGGCTGTCTCTTTGGGTTGCATCAGCCAGTACAGGGCAAGACTTGTCCCAGTGCTGCTGCTCCCCGGCTGCCGCTGCCCCTGGAGCTGCGACCTTCCCAAACTCCAGCATTGCAATAAGCACTGTCAGTCCTGCTCAGGGTAAAAGTGACATCTTAATTAAATCAGCATCCAGCCCCTTAAACAGGACCAGCCTGACGGAGGGCGGGTTCCTGCTGCCTGGTGCTCTCCTTGTTCCCTATGGACTGAACCGGGAGCAGTGATCCTAGGGGAGTTAGCGGGAGGCAGTCATCCCTGTGCTGACGGGGAGGGCGTCAGCTGTGCCAGGCTGGGCTCCGAGCTTATTTATCCCCATAAGTTAAAGCCTTCGTGTGCCTCCCAAATGGGAAGCGTTTCACTTCGTTGTTCTCCCCTGCATCTTCTCACTTAAAAGAAGGCTTTCGTTTCCTGCAGGTATAAAGGAATGAGTGGTTAAGTCATTCCTCTGATGCTAAAAAGCCCACATCTAAAATTAAAATGTGATCCTTAAAACCAAGCCGAGCCAAGTGACTGCCTGATTGTGGCTGGTCTTCCCAGAGCACCCAAATCCTTACCTAGCACTGAGCGAGGCAGAGCTAAGGAATCCTTACCTAGCACTGAGGTGTAGCTGAGGAATCCTTACCTAGCACTGAGGTGTAGCTAAGGAATCCTTACCTAGCACTGAGGTGTAGCTAAGGAATCCTTACCTAGCACTGAGTGAGGTGTAGCTAAGGAATCCTTACCTAGCACTGAGGTGTAGCTAAGGAATCCTTACCTAGCACTGAGGTGTAGCTGAGGAATCCTTACCTAGCACTGAGGTGTAGCTAAGGAATCCTTACCTAGCACTGAGGTGTAGCTAAGGAATCCTTACCTAGCACTGAGTGAGGTGTAGCTAAGGAATCCTTACCTAGCACTGAGGTGTAGCTAAGGGCCCATAAGATGAGTTTATGCCCCCCTTCCTGTCCCCAGCTGCGCGCAGAGCGGGCGCCCGCGGCGCAACAGCCACCAGCGCAAGCTGGACCAGCAGGAGGAGAGCTGCCAGAACCTGACCGACTTCGCGCCCGCGCGCGTGCCCAGCGCCCTCGACATCTTCACCGCCTACAACGAGACGCTGCAGTGCTCCCACGAGTGCGTCCGCACCCCCGTGCCCGTCTACGCGGAGGAGGCGCTGCGCTCGCCCGGGGACTATAAAACCACCTTCAATGGAAACAGGTAAGGCGGGATGGGGAGAGCCGTGCCGGTGCTGGTTCCCAAGGGGAGATGCCCACTGGCTTCTCCCAGCTTCCTCCGTCTCTCTGAACCGTGGTGCTCGTTGACGGACGTTGCTCAGTGACATCCTTCCTCATCGGCAGGATGAGGGCTCCACTGGCCCCATAGGCAGCTCCATCCTCAGCGTCACCTTAGAATATCACAGCATCATAGAATGGAGTCTTAGAATCACTGGGCTGGAAAAGACCTTTAAGATGATCAAGTCCAACCAGCCAGCCCTGGCAGTGTGGAGTGCCGCACGTTTTCCAGTTCCCGACAGCACGCAAAATGCTGCTGGACCCAGCGTCCAGCATCCGTGCTGTCTGCTGAGCGGCATCACGGGAGCCGCTGGGTTGGGAGTGAGCAGGGTGATTAATGGAGGAGCCAAATGAGCTCTTAGTCTGGTGTGAAATAATGATGCTTTAACGAGGGGGCTTGGGAGCAGCTGGTGGCACAGGGCGAAAGCACGAGCACTTCTCTGCATGCCCCATGTCTGTCAGGAGGGATGCTCAGCAGGCCTGGCTCCCCGAGCCCATTCACTGGGTGCTGCTGGGGTTTTACCGTGCTGTAGATGCGTGTCTCCCAGCAGAGGCAGAGGGAAAATCAGGAGGGTTTTGAGGGAGGAAACGAGCATGCAGTGCTCTGCACAGCCTGGCTGGCCGTGGTGGACGTGCCACCCCCAGCTGGTGTCTACCTGCATGAAGGAGAGAAGCCCGGAAGCCAACAGCCTTTTAACCAGCATCTGCGTGCGCATGGGGTTGTGCTTTGCACCTTGCTGGTTTCCAAGGCCGATAAGCCCATTCCAAGCGTTACTTTAGAGAGGTGGTTGGTTTTGCCCTCTAAACCAGCTGACTTGTGCTGCAGGCCACCCCAGCTTGCTCCTGGTGTGTTACATGCCAGCATCCGCAAGCCCCTTTTTGTGCTCACTGCAGACCCTCTTCTTCTGACCGGCATCTTATTCCCGTGGCCTTTGTGTCTGAGAAATGGTTTGAGATCTCCTGCTGACTGGCCGAAACCTGTTTGACTTCTGGGGCAGGGCAGACGCCATCGGGCTGTTTTCTGGTAGGTATCGCGCTCCCCCCACGCCTGTCCCCTGCCTGTTCCATGCCTCTCGTCCCCTGCTCACGTGCGGTTCCTCTCCTCCTGCCTGGTGCCGTCCTCCTGCTCCTGCTTCTTTCGGGATGTCAGAAACCACCTCCTGGGATGCCCACAGGATGCTGTGGATGGGATGCTGGGTACCACAGAGGTGAATTGCAGTCAGGCCAGAGCAAAAAGGCAGGGACTGAGATGGATGTGGATTTAAGAGTAATGGGTCCCTGGGGCAGCCTTGAACTTCAAGCCTGATCCTGTGGTTCCAGCCCACCTCGACAAGCAGTAGTAATTTCCATGCTGTGAAGTGGCCTGGTCTGTAATTAACCTCTTGTTGCATGATGGACAGCCCAGCTCGTTCATGAGTCATGCAGCTGACATGCACGCTCCCTTGGTACCCGAAAGCTCATGTGATGATGTTTGCTGTCATAAACACTGCCATGTGAGGGTGCTGGGGTCCTCCTCTTCCTTCTCCTCATCCTCTTCCTCCTGTGCCATTCCTTGCCCTGTGGGAAGTGCATCCTGCAAGCCCACGTGTGCAGTCCCTAGCAGCCAGGTTCGCACCTCAGGTCCTGCTGTGTTGTGAGATGTGCTGCTCTCAGGAGTACCCTGTTGGGGATGCTTTCCTGGTTTGGAGCTGCTTTGAGCCGTTTTTCCCTCCTTGTATTGCTGTTGAAGGCAACAGCAGGAGCAGTTAGGGTTTGTTGCGTGGGGCTCACTGTGGGGCACCGGTGCCCGTCTGAGCCACGCAGTCAGGTGAATTAATGGGTCTGTCCCACATCCCTGCTGTAATGAATCATATATTCAGTGTAAATGAAATTTGCAGCCTTCCCTGACTGCAGCTTGCTCAGAATAGCCTGCTTAACATTACACTCAGCTATTGAACCCAGAAATATAATTAGATTAGAATGGAAGGGAATAAAAAGTTAATGGTCTCGGCTGTGCTGGGGGCTGGCGGTGTCTGGGCAGCTCAGGTGAGGTGTGCACAGGGAGCACAAGGCACAGAGCAGGAGTTCACCCATCGGCCCGCTGGTGGCTTTGCCCATAGCTGCCATCAGCAGCTCTTGTGCCTGAAGTAGAGGGAAGGAGGATGAGCAGCTCTGAGCTCTTGCCTGCTGTGGGAAGCCTGTGCAATTCCTGCCCGAAGTCCTGTGAATCTCGGTGCCAAAGACTGCTCCCTGGCCGTCTCCACAGATCTTCTTCAATAGCCCAAAGCCATCCCATCATGCCTTATTAAATCCTTGAAATTCTCATTGACCCGTTTTCATGGAATCCATAAAACACGTATTGACGCGCTCTGGAAAAATCTATCTGAGTCGTACCTGGAGCATTAGCTCCATAATAGGGTTTCAATTATTTATCCAGCTCTGGACGCTAATGTTTGGTTTCATTAATGTTGGCAAAGTGAGATTAATCCAAAAGCTGTTCTCTGCGTGTGTACATGGACGTGTGTGTGTTTGCACCGGGTGTTTAGGGAGCACACAAGCATAAGTGGTTCATCACGGTGAGAGCCAGGCGGCTGCCAGAGATCCCTCCTGTGTGTGGGGAGTAATGGAGCACGGCACAGGTACTGCAGAGACTGCCCTCGTCCCAGAACGGGGTCAGCCCAAATCCTTTGGAAGTCAGAAAAGGGTCACTTAGTATTTTTTCCGTGCTGTACTGTTTCCTACATCTTCTATCATGATGTGCTTGGTAGGTTGAGGACCTGCCAGGGTCTCAGTGTTGGTGTCTCCTGAGGGGGCTTTACTCTGCTGGCAGCATCTGGTTGAAGGATGCGTTTTGCATGAATCCATGTGTGCCAGCTGGGACATCCCGCAGGCAAAAGGGATATTCCAAGTTGCACATGTCACTGTGTGAGGTAGAACCTTCCCAGAGAAGGCATTGGGTTAAGCTCCCTGGTAGACTGTCTCCCTGTCGTTAGGGTGGCCTTGTGCTGTCACCGTACGGATGCTGCAGGAGGATGGTGGGATGAGGATACCTTTCCAGCTCTCATTTCTAGAGGAGAGGCTGGTGGTGAAGTTGATGCTTTGGGCTGCACCTCTTCTGGAGAGATCAGTGTCTTCCTGGCTGGCTTTTCCAACAGCAGCAGCAGCACATCCTGGAGGCAGCAGTTAGTGTTGAACCCCTGTCCCTCAGCGGAGGAGGAAGGATGCTCTCCATCCTGGCTGGAAGGGTTGTGTGCAGCATTCTCTTCCCAGCCCCTTTCTCTTGGTGTGTGCAGCATGAGGGGGGCACCCCAAAGCCAGGGGGCAATCCTCACTCTGCAGGCACACGGCCATGCACCAGGAGGGGTTGGACACTGCGCTGGACCCCGTGCCAGCAACCTCACTCCATGGAAAGGCTCAAAGCCTTTTACAAGGTTTAATTGATGGCCCTCCACAGCTCCTAGCCGTCTAACAAGCAAATTAGTCCTCTGAACATGCAGAGTCAGAGCTGGAGGCGCGAGACGGACGCAGGGCAGAGAGGGTGTGAGGACATTTGGACTAGATGAGCACCGGGAGGCCGGTTGGAGTTTAATGTGCACTTTGCAGCTGGCAGCCCGTCAGCACTGTGCTGTACCTAAATGGCAGCCTGGCATTTGAGGGTGCTGCTGGCAGCATAAGGCTGTGCGGGTGCAGGCAGCAGATGTAAGGGACCGCACCATGGAACCGTCTCCAGCCTGGAGAGCTGCAGGCAGCGCTGAGCTCGTGTCGGAAACCTGGTGAAGCTCATCTGGTTACACGGCAAGCAGATGTTGAAGTTATTTCCTGGGGTCAGATTCATCCGGTGCCAAGAGGAGTGATGGAGAGCGTTCCTGTGCCTCTGGCACGGTCCCTGCTGAGGCACTGGCAGCTCCGTGTGCAGATGCAGCCACAGCATGGCCCGGGGCTGGTCTAGGTGAAGAGTAAAGCAGTCACTTATAGCATTTGTGCCAGGCAGCTCAGGGATTATCTGCATGGGGGTTTAAGAAGCAAAACTGCCTGTGCCCTGATCACAGTAGATGACAGAGGAGATGCGGCAGAGGCAGGAACAGCCGTTCTGCAACCCAAAAGGTGAAGTTTGCTGGAGGCTCAGGTGGCTTTGGCTGGGCACTGCAGCAAACGGAGGCAGTTTTGGTTTGATTTCATACTGTCTTTGGGGCTTTCTGAAATGAAGTTTGAGATTTCGTGTTGTTCTTGTCCTTAATCCCGCTCTCTTTGACTGAAAACCCCATGGAATGAGATTATACAAAAATCTGTAAGGTTGATCAAGCGCTGACCTACTTTGCACAAAGAGAGGCTGTTTGGAATACAATACAAATTGTACGTCCTGCAATGCATGCGTTAGATAGGATTCATCCAGGACTACGTAAACATTCGGCATTGCTGTTAGGGAAGTGGCCATCCGGGACCTGAAAAATCATCCTGGCTACGGTAACATTGATCTGACCCCAGCTTTTGCACAAGGTGGATAAAATGCGCAGCGCTGTGTGGTAATTCCACGCTTTGAACACAGCGAGCAGCTGCTGTGATGGCCCCGTTCTGCCTAACAACAGCAAATGGTTTGTATTAACATTAACAGATAATGAGTCATCATAAAAAATCCAGGCTTGTCTTGGAGGAATAACAGCAGTCCCGGCACAGCCCCGGCGTGGGAGATTAAGGACTCAGTCAAATCTGTCTCGCTAATTAAGACTCGAGCCTTGTTCTTGGAGGTGGTGAATATTGGGCATCTTGCCTTCAAATAATGCTGAGGAAAGAGCCCTGGAACAAAAAGCCTTCCCAGGGCTGGTAGCCAGCTTGTGTGGCTCAGGGCAGAGCTGTGGACCGAGGGCACTGGATGGGGATGAAGCCCACACATGGGCAGTGGTCTCGAGACACTTGGATGCATTACAGTGTGTAACACTCCACACCAAGTCATACTGCATGTGAAGTGGATGCATTACAGTGCGTAACACTCCACACCAAGTCATACTGCATGTGAAGTGGATGCATTACAGTGTGTAACACTCCACACCAAGTCATACTGCATGTGAAGTGGATGCATTACAGTGCGTAACACTCCACACCAAGACATACTGCATGTGAAGTGGATGCATTACAGTGTGTAACACTCCACACCAAGTCATACTGCATGTGAAGTGGATGCATTACAGTGTGTAACACTACACACCAAGTCATACTGCATGTGAAGTGGATGCATTACAGTGTGTAACACTACACACCAAGTCATACTGCATGTGAAGCAAGCAGCCACACACAGATGATGGGGAGTAATTGCCTTCACATGGAGGTTTCAGGATTATGTAGGGAGAGAGCTTTCGGAAGGCAGCAAATAAACAGCTTAAGAAGAACTTCTGTAGGATCTCTGGGTTTGATGCTTAACCAGTTCCATACTGATCTCTTTAGGGCATCTAACTTTAGGGAATTTTGTTAGTGCTCATCACTGTCTTCTCACCTGCCAGAGCATTCGCTGCTCTCAGCACAAGTATGAACAACCCCAGGATGCAAGGGGGATCAGGAGGAAATAATGCTTTGGAAGAGGTCCTGAGGAAGTAGTGTGCATTTAGACCCACCTCTTCCACTGCTCATCAAAAGCATCCCCATCCCATCACGTGTGCCCTGCTCCAAGGGCTGCCTCAAGGAACGTGGCTGAGAATGGGCTGGGAAGGGCTGAGGCTTCAGTGGGGAGGCTGAAGGAGTGATCCCAGTCCTGATCCCACCACAGACTGGTGTCTGGTCACCAACACCCTGCTTCTTCCATGCCCATCCCCAAGGGTGCCATTGGTGCTTGTGCCCCTGAGCCCTGCGGGGAGGCGGGGGAAGGCTCCAGGGGATCACCAGAGCAGCAGTGCAAGTCGTGGTGCTGTTCCCTTGTCATGATTTAATCTTTCTTTTTCTTCTTGTCCTTCACAGGATTCCATTGGTGAACCTGTAAAAAATATACAAAAATAATGGGTTACCTGTACCTACCATTTCTGTTTACCAGTAGGAGACTCAAAGAGCAGCGTTCTATGGGCCAAATCTATTTTTATACAAATGAACACGCCTGTAGGGAACTGCGATGGACAGAGAGCGCGTTTGGTGGGGAAGAGGAAGGGAAATGCGTGAGCAAAGGATCCCGTGAGGAAGAGGAGCCGGCGGGGGACTGAGGGAAGGGCTGAGCGCCTGGAGCCTGGACGTGGACGTGACTCTGAACCTGTGCCAATAATACCATTATGTGCCATGTACCGATGCAAAGGCTTGGCGAGAAGCCGAAGCCGAGTCGCTAACGCCTGGAAAACATTGTGGAGGACGAGTGGGGCGTCTCTTCTGGTGGGGTCATCCATTCCGGTCCATCCGCGTACATACATGCGATACGTGTAGAGAGAAAATATATATATATATACACACACAACCACTTTTTGTACTGTAGCAATTTTTGAAGATCTTAAATACTCATTTTTAAAGAAGATGTCATGGGCTAAAAGTCTCATTTCTTTAACACGCATTATACAAACCAGGTGAGCCGATGTTTTCTACTTTGGCAGCTTGCCTTTTGAACCTATATGTGTATATATAGGTAGACATATATACATATATATACGTGTGTGTGTGTATGTATAGACATATATATGTATGTATACATATATATATATATATATATAGTTTTGGTTCCTTTTGGAAATGCTTTTCCAGCAGTTGGGACGTGACCATGGCAGGGTCAGCCAGGGCTGCAGTGCCTGGTGGTTGCTCCAGCCACAGGAGGGATGGCGGGATGCGCTGGAGCCTGGTCTGGAACGACAGGAGGATGGAGATGGGCTGGGATTCTAGCTAGAAGGCTGCGTCTGGGCCAAATTCACAAAGTGCATTCCTGCTGTGGGAGGTCGGAGGAAGCGGAACGCTGCGGCGAGGGGAGCGGGCAGCAGAGGAGCTCCCCTTTCCTCCATGCGGGATGCTGCAGGCGCGGGGCGGATCCTGCTCCCACTCCCTATGGACCCTGTCCTCGAGGTGGTGTTCCCACACCATCGTGTTCCCAGGAGCAGGGCGAGCGGGAAGCGAGCAGGGAGCAGCTCGAGGCGGTGGTGAAGGGTGTTTCCAGACTTGTGTAGCCCGATACATCATTGGGGTAGGGAGGAAAGCTCCAAAGCCTGTGTCTGCCGTTGTTTTACTGAGCTAAGTGTGATGCCTTGGGGATGGCTGGGAATAGGTTTTAGGTGTGGACTTCTGAAGGATGGGTCTCTCTTTGCACAAGAGACAAATTTCAGGAGCGGGATGAGGGAGTTATATTGGAAAATGGCTTCTGAATTGGCCATGACACCAAAGCTTGCTCAGCCCTTTGTGAGACACACGAGAGGAACGAGCCCATTGCCTCCTCACCCATTCCAGGGCCAGAGAGCTCTGGGGAGCCTCTTCCTTGAGAAGGGAATTTTGCCCACGGTTCCAGTGGCTCCGGTTTGGTGTGTTGCTCATCCCGGTGCTTGCAGTGGTACCACTGGGCTGTGGCACTAAGACAGCTCCCAGCTGGGGTTGGGCTGCTTCAGCATTACCTGGGTAGGAGCGACAGCAGAATTCAGACCAAAGCCCTCCAGTTCTTTTTGTAATCTGCCCTTCGTCAGTACTAGCGCCTTTTAGAGTTGTCCGGATACGCATTCCTACTCATCCCTAGCTGTTCAGCCCCATTCCCATATTACAATGGACAAAAAGGCAGAAATTCCTGGTGTTGCACATAGCCACGTGTGCAGTCTCTTGTTCCCGTATTCTTTTCTGTCCTTTCCTGATGGAATTGCACAGTCTGGATTATCTTTCCTGAGTTCTTGGGAGCTGCCCCAGGAAGAAGTCTTCCTTGCCAGACCTGATGATTACCTGTGGACTTTAACCAAGCGTCTCCAAAGGCGTTGGCAACATTCCCTGCAATTCCAATGAGACTCCAGCATCGCCTTTGGTGCTCTCCACACTGGGGTCACTGCTAACCGGCAGCCAGGGAAGAGGAGAGGGGTTCCCGTTGCTCCTGGCCAGGGTTTCATCCATGGTCCTTCTGCAGAGCTGGTTTCTACTGGGTGAGCATAGGCAACGCGTGCATCCCTGGGGCTGGGTGTTGTTGTTGGGGGTATTTAACAGGGCTGGGTCCTGCATCAGAGCAGAGATGTGCTCTTTTTGTGTTTCACAAAGCCAACCGTTCCATGATGGGGCTGGGCACTGGGCAAAGGGGTGCTGCTGTGTGGCTCATGTCTGGCTCTCTGGGACATTGGGTGGATGTCCCCACCTCTGCCCCTGGGGCAGGAGATGGTGTTTTGCTGGAGGAGTGCTCCCCGAAGCTTTAACCTTCCTTGATATCTGCCAGGAGCATTTCCCCTTGAGGTGTCCCTGGGGTCTGCCTTCAGCTGGGGGGTCCTGGTGCTGCTGCTGGCAATCTCACGTAGACAATGGGGACCTTTGGGCTGCAGTTAATAGCATAGAGTGCTACCTTGCTTGGATTACCAATGCCCTCGCTCCACAGCAGCCCAGGGGAGCTCATTGCAGTGGGGTCAGCCAGAACTCATGTGAGAAGTGACCACTCCACAGTGATCCATCATCTCAGTATGCCAGAGCCTTTGTGTTTTACTGATGTGCCAGAGCAGCCCCTGCAAATCTCCCTCGCTGGCACAGGGTTTGAGTTCTCCTGTATTTGACTCTGCTGGCATCAATCCACTCCAGCTCGGGAGCCGTTGCGCTGCACCCATTGATCTTCCGATTTAGCTGTGTGTGCTGGCTGCACCCAGGAGTTCTTGCGGGTGTTCCAGTGTAATCTCAATGGCAATTTGACATCATAAAATACACCTCAGCTCCCTCGTTCCTGAGCGTTTGAAGGAGCGTTCTGCATTTCTGTGTGTATGGAACCGCTGCCTGAAGGGGAGGTGTTGGGCAGAGCACAGGCAGCGGTGGTGGTGATGGCGATGGAGATGTGCCCTGCCCCAAGCCTGGCACCCAGCTCCTGGGCGAGGAAGGGGAATTGTGTGTGTGTGTATCTGTGTGTGTGTCAGGGAAAGAGAATGCAGGAGAATAACTGACCCCAGACAGCAGGAGCAGGGGTTTGAGGGCAGGACTTGCACGAGCTTTCCACATTGTCTGCAGAAGAACACGTCCTGGTCACCAAGAGATGAGCGGTGAACTGGGGAACAAAAGTAGATGCACAATCTTCCCTTATTTATAAGGACCAACAGCACTTGCACTTTATCAGAGAAACCCTCCCATCCTATGCATGCAAGCACACCAAGGGACGACTGCCAGGAGGAAGAGAAGGAGGGAAGGAAGAAGGGAAGGGCCGGAGCTGTAACTGCTGTGATTTATGAGGCAGGATCCTTGCAGCCCAAGGTCTATCATAAGAAAGAGAAACGAACAGCAGTTATTTCATTCCGTGCTATTGATGAAAGCCAAAAAAAAAGAGAAAGAAATGGAACCAGTAAGTCACTTTTTCATGGCATAGACCATGGGCAGCTGGGTCTTGCTCCTGTGCGGGGACAACAGACTTGTGCGTGTTTGGAGAATTAAGAATTTGGGATTTTAGGGATTTTTCTGCTCTTTTTCAGAAGCTGAGCCTCTTTTCCCGCCCAATAGCATTGCACGGGCAGCAGGGAATGTTCCACCATGGGACACGGACCCTTTGCACTGCCGTGGATTGAGCGAGGGCTTGCAAGGGGTGAGGTGATGGCACAGCCCTTGTGAAGGTCCCTGCTGTGCGCGGGGGTCACCTCGCTGTGCTGGGGAGCTGTGGGTTCCTGTGGTGGCACTCAATGGATGGGCAGTAAATCCCGAGGAGCAGCCTGGACGTGGCATCAGGCAAACCCCATGCTCCAGCGTGCCCTTTCCTTGGAGAAACAGAGCCTTTTGTGTTTTGTTTCCTTGTGGTTCTGGCAGGTTGAATGAAAACCAAGTTTTGCTCCTTGCTTTGCCGTAAACTCCCAGCTTGCTGCTTCTTGGTTCTTTCTTTTTGGTTCATTTTATGGATTTCTTAGCCCAAGTAGCTCCTCAGAAACACATCAAGGCTGCCAAAAGGCTGCCGCATCCCCCAGCCATGTAGTGCTGTGTCCGTGTGTTGCTTGTGGCTCTGTCTTAAGAGAGAGGATGGTTTGGGACGAGCCCTTCTCACCACCAGCCTGTGCCAGGAGCTGTCTCTCCAAAGCTGACGCTCACCATCACCGTCTTCCCAGCTAGAGACAAGGGCAGCGGGGGGCCGGGTGGGAGGTGCGAGGTGGATTTTGGGTTAACCTCTTCTCCATGGGCAGCTGGTTGCGAAGGAAGGTCGTTCAGCTAAAATGGTAGTTAAATAGTAGATATTCTACACATATTCTATATTTTGTACAAAAAAAAATAAACTAGAACAAAAATATATATCTCTATCCTATCTCAGCCCACCCATTTCAGGATGAATGTGGTTGGAATTTTCCTTCAACCAGGTCTAAAATCTATAAGTGATTTTTATCAAAACCAGCAAGAAATCCCTCCCCATTTCCAAGCCCCTGGGTCCGGTCTCCAGATCCCACGTAACGCTTCTCACACATTTGTAAGACTTCTTCTCAGCGTTTGTAGGTGCATTTTTAACAGTGTCACGAGTGGAGATAATATTTACTTTGAGAAAACGTACGCGTTGCACAAAAGATGTACACTAAGGGCACAGATTTCTGACCCAGATTCTTCTATTTTAGGTTCCGAGGGTTTTGTTTTTTTCCGTTTGATAGGACACGTGCAGTTGGAGTTTACACTTCATTTTTATTTTGCCAAAAAAAACGTTTTCTAACATGAGACAGCGTTTCCTTTGTCACCGGTTCTACATCACTGAGTGCTTCTTTCTTTTCCCTGGGAAAATCCCGCGCGGCGGGACATCCGGCACGCTGCTGCAGGGGATGCTGCGGGGCCAGGACTCCTCTTCCCGAGTGGTTTTTAATTTGTCTCTGTACTTGGAAGCTGTGTACTTGGAAGCACTGTAAATGCCACCCTATACCGATCTCCCTGTGTATATTTAGTACTCTGATGTTGCTATTAAAACTGATATGAGAACCGCGCAGCAGGGTGCTGACTGGGTTCCTCTGCGGTCCATGGCGGGGGGGGGGGGGGGAATGGGGGAGTTTGGGGGGCTTGGAAGGGAGAAACCTCCTTGGTTGTACACCCTTCTGGGGCAAGCAGCTGAGAAACAGCCCTGCCTTCATCCTGGGAAGTGGGTCTTGTATATCTTGGGAAGGAGGTATTGCACAGCCTGGGAAGAGGGTCTCAGCATCCCCACCATGGAGGCACCCCCATCCAAGCCCTGTGGCGGAGGTGGGAGCACAGGGTCAAGCAGTGGGGACCCATGTGTGTGTGTTGGGATGGTGCTTGAAAGAACAAAGCCCTTCAGCAGGGCGCTTAGGGAGTTAATGAAACATCACTAATGAGGTTTTAAACGAACAGCTCTGCAGCAAGGTGAGCAGGCGCTGGGGAATCTCTTACCCTGGGTGTATGTTGTGCATAAAGAGGAATTTGGGCTGTGAGCACTTGTGTATTAAAATGATGCTTTTTGTCTGCAAATTGGGTTTGCAGTGGGTGGTGAGGGGTCACACTCGGGCTGTCGTGTTCCAGCCAGGGCTTGCCCTGCTGTTGCTCAATGGACAGATGGAGCTGCAGAGCTTTGGAATGCCACCTGACCTAGAAAGGGGGGAAAAAAGCTGTTTTCAATGTCCGTGTCAGCTTTGAGGAGGGATGACCTGGGCAGGCAGAGCTCGGCACAGCCACCCACTGCTTGTATCTCCCACAGTGCCTGCTAGCACACCAAAGGAAGGACCAGAGATGCAGCCTAGCCAGATCCTCCCAAAAAGCTCTCTTCTGTGGGAAAACATGTAGGAAAATGAGGAGGGACAAAGTGAGATGCTCTTCATTGCAGGGCCAAATTGCCAGCTTAAATCACTGTGACACTGTGTACAAGCTAACAGGGTGCGAATGGCCTCAGAGCTGCATATATCAGCCAGAGAACTCTGTTCATTTCCAGGTACAAGTGGGATTTCAGGGCATGAAATAGAGTGTTGGGATCTCATTCCTTTCCCTGCTATTTATCACAGCCAGAAACGTACTCACCAGCGATGTTGTGAGCAGAGGAGTGCAGAGGAGGAATACTGTGCTGAGCCACGTGGTGTGGGAGAGGGGACATGGGGAGCCGGACAGCTCGGATGGATGCTGCGCGGATTGTGGTGCTGCAGGAGCAGGCAGCAGCTCTGGTGCTGCTGCTTGGGTCACTTCTCATGCGAGTGAAATGATGCTGCAGAAGCTCCTGCCGAGCCCGTTGAGCTCAGCCTTCTGCATTGCAGCCAAAGGGGAGAGCCAGCCCCGCATTGCCGGATGTCCCTGTGCCCTCCAGCACCCATCGCACCCAGCACGGAGCTAGGAGCATCCCCTCCTGCTGCTGCTCACCCTGCCACATGGTGAGGGCCAGGGCACAGCCACCGCGCTGGGTTAAGGTGCCTGAAGCGGTCCCTTGGGTCACCATCCCCTTCTCAGCGCTGGAGCTGCCCCTCTGCATGCTCTGAGGGCTGCCTCAGCCCGGCAGCGGGGCGAGACTGGAAAATGAGGCTGGAAACAAAACGCGAGCGCACTGATGCCACAGCACACAGCTCTGTTAAAAAGTGGGACTAAGCATTATCCAAGTTTAATTATTGTAATTATACCGGGGCGAAGTAATTGCTGGAGATATTTTAAGCATCAATCGACATGCTATTTTGAAAAGCAAAGCCCTGATTTATCCAGGGCTAGGTAGTAACCATCAACATGCAACAGGGAGGAGCCCACCGAGAAAGGACTTTAAAACTGGTTGTATCTTCTTATTTGGGTTGGAGACAAGACAGGGGAAGGTAGAGAAGGATCCTTGGCTATGGGGAATTGGTCGTGCTGGCATCCCTGTGTCCGACGGTAGGAGCCAGGCTCCCAGCATCAGGCTGGGCTGCAGGAGCAGCATCAGCTTTGGGATGAGGAGCCGTGCGTGATGTGGTGACAGCACCTCGGCGGTGGCTTTGAGGAAGATTGGCTGAGGCTGGATGATGTAGCGATGCTGAAATCATTTAAGCTTGTTATTGTGGTTTCTATGGCTCTCTGGCTGGATGTAACAAATTGTCTGCATCATTTTCCAGATGGATCGTTCTTAAATCATCCAGGACAGGCTTCAGGGCTCAGCACTGAAGCAGTGGAAGGCACTTCAGCTCAATAAATGCTGGAAATGTGCTATATTGAGTGCTATTTCTTATTAAAAGTGGAAGTACATCATCCAAGCTGATGGGTCGGTCTCACAGCCAAGATCTCCGCGCTTCGCACCCCTTCTGAGTGCCAAGCTCCCCGCAGATGGGCCATGGAGGGAGCCATGTGAGGGTGCCTGTGCCTCTGCAGTGGGTAACGGGCTCAGCCAGCAGCTCATCCCTACCCCCGGCCTCTTTCCCCACGGATGGAACCAGCCCGCAGCGTGCATCCCACTCCAGGCTCATGGCGCGGCGTTTGGCCATGGACTTGTGTGCCCAGTAAATGATGAGCGCTGAGAGAGCATTTTATTACTGCCAGGCAGTTTGTGCTAATAAGCAGTTCGAAACAGCGAAGCCTCTCAGCAGAGGGATGAATTATTATGGCAGGAGAGCGTTGGAAAGGAAGAGCCCCGAGGGGGCTGCAGCAGAGGAGACCTGCAGCCAGCACAGCCTGCAGTGGGGCTGGTGCATGGTGGGCTTGGTCCATGGTGGCATCAACCCACGGCTGGGTGTCTGCTGCCCGGCGGGGATGGGGAGCACAGGGGCTGCCCACAGCTTGTGCTGGAGACTCAATGGGATTCGTGTTGTCTCCTGAGGACTCAGGAAACGCGTGTGCATGCGATTCACAGGTTTCAAGTGCCAGGCTGCTGTTAGCTGTAATCTCAGGTTTTACTGACACTGATACAACCCAGGACCCGGGACCCGTTCAGCTCTGCCGGGAGTGACATGCCTGTATGTTTTTAATAAACTTCCCAGAATGAAATCCTCGCCGTTCCCGTTCATCCTCCGAGCATGATATTAAGTGAAAACTGACATCTATCTTAGTTCCTTGTCAGGCCAAAGCGAGGACAGAGTTTCTTCAGGGTTGTTGTTATCTTCCCCTTGCAAATTCACAAGTGTGCGTAAGTGATGTGATGGGAGCAGGGGACGGAGGCAGGAGCTGATGGCTGTCATAGGAGCCTGGTCCTTGCCTGTGCCACACTGAAGGACAACAGGATGTGCAAACGAAAGCCCTGTGGGACCTGGAGCTGTGGCCCCATGTGAAGCCCCACACGAAGCCGAGGTCAGCAGCACTGGAGCACACTGCATGGGGTGCTTTCTTGGTGCCCAGCGAGCAGGGTACCACTCCAGCAGCGATGCCGGGGCAGCACATCCACCTCAGTGGATGAGCTGCGTTCTCTCAGGTGCGGTATT